CACCAGAAAGCTGGAAGTGGTGTTTGTGGCTCAAAGTGGTAGAGCGCCAGCCTTGAGTGAAAGAGCTCAGGGACAGTGCCCAGGCTCTGAGTTCAAGCCCTATGACCGGGAAAGCGGGGGAGGGGGCAGGACACAATATCAGGAGCATGGTGGTCCAAAGCCCACCTTCCTAGAAAAGTCTTCATCTCCAGTTAACTAGCAAAATGTTGGACTGGAGGTGTGGCTCAGGCGGTAGAGCGCAAGCCATGGGCACAAATTGAGAGTTTGAGGACTCTGAGTTCAAGCCCCAGCACAGACATAGCCATACACACAAATAAGTGTTCAAGGACACCACACACAAAAATACCCGAATTCTGGAAGGTCTCTGTCAAAATGCACGCTGTCTTCATAAATGATGTCCAGCTTCGTATCAACCGCAACAACCTTCACCTGGAAGATGTTTTTCAAAATGGGGTTCAGCCCAGAGGTCCCCTTCAAATCTACGGGGCATCTTTGTTACCATGGTAACAGAGGTCTCATCTCAAGATGCTGAAGCTAAGTGGGCCCCGGTGGTCCACACCTGTCATCCCAGCTACTCAGGAGATTGAGATCTAGAGGATCGAGGATCAAAGCCAGCTCTGGGGCAAGAAAGTCCAGGAGACTGATCTCCCATGAACCATCAGAAAACTGGAAGTGGTGCCATACATGGCTCAAAGTGGTACAGTACCAGCCTTGAGCAGAAGAAGCTCTGGGACAGCACCCAGGCCCTGAGTTCAAGCCCCAGGACTGGCACACACACACACACACACACAAATAACACACAAAGAGCCCACTAAGAGAACAACTGTTGCTTTCAAAGGTAAATTTCCATCCTGCTCCATGGAAGCTGGAATCAGCCCAGATCTTCGGTGGCTGGGAGGAACTGGGGCCTCACCTCAGCTCCAGTGCCAACCAGAATCCATGCCAACCAACTCAGTCACCAGAAAAGGCAAAGTCCATTCACACAACTGGGTCCATTTCAATTCCACTTACCTAAACATGAAAAGAAAGAAAAAGAATAATAATTCCCAGCCTCACTGGTGGCTCCAGCCCCCCACTTGAGAGGCTGAGAGATGCCAGGATCCTGGTGCCAAGCCAGCCCAGCCCAGGCAGGAAAAGTCTACTGGCACGCTTCTCGCCAATGAACCACCCAAAATACCATAAAATAAAAGCTGGGAAGTTGGAGCTGTGGTTCAAGCGGTGGAGCACTGGGCTTGCATGACAAAAATAACATAACATAAAAGACCAGCTCAGGGACAGGAGCCCAGGCCCTGAGTTCAAGCCCCAGGCCTGGCACCACGAAAGTTTCCAGCAATGTGGAGATCCCAGGCCAGGGCCTCCTCTGCCCCCCCAACTTTTGAACCCTTCCCCGTCCCCAGGAGGGCGGGGGGGGGAGGGGAGGCATGAGAGGACGGGAAGTTTCTGGAAAAGTCCAGGGGTGGGGTGAGGTGGGGTGAGGTCGAGCTAGGCCCCAGGGCCGGGCAGTCCCAGGTCCTCGCCAGGCCAGGCACCCCGCGACAGCCTCCCCAGGAAGAGGGGGCCCCCCTTCTCCGGGAGGTCGGCGCATGCGCACTGCACGGCCCCCGGGCGCGGTGCAGCCAGCCGGGCGTCCCGGAGGAGGTGGCCAGGGTCCCCCGCCACCCCCCCTCCGGTCCCCCTCACGATCCCCCACCCCATCCTACCTGCTGCGTGCTGAAGTCCCAGCCCAGGCAGCAGTGGCGGCGATCGGGGTGCTCGGCCATCGTCCGGGAGAAACGCCCGCACCCGGGTCCGACCGTCCGGGAGTGTCGCCGCGCTCTGACACCTAGCGAGAAGCGGGGCCACGCCCCTGGCCACGCCCATCGCGCAGCCACGCCCAATCAACCGGAGTCCGCCACGGACTGGCCCGGCCCACCTCATCGCCACGCCCAATCAGCCGGAGTCCGCCGCGGGTTGACCACGCCCCCTTCCATTCTGTGGCTTTTGGCCACGCCTCTTAGCCACGCCCAGCCAGGCTAGACCCAGGCCGGTCGGAGCTCTGGCGCCACCTAGGGGATCGGCGAGGGAGGACGGCGCCCGGGCCGGGATGGCGCCTAACTCCTGCATGCACCCCTCTTTCTGCTCCTTGCTCTGAGCTCTCAGGACATCCAGGTCCTGGATCGTCACACGTTTCAGGTTTAATCCAACTTGTCCTCGCCTGGTCCTCCCTCCCTCTCCAGTGGCCCTCGTCCTGGGAAAACCTCTGGGGTCCTTCTTGGGTGAACTGGGGTTTAGGGGTGCTGGGCTCTGGTCCAGATCTAGCCAGTGTGATGCTCTGCTTGTGCCCAGCCACTCAGGAGGCTGCGGTCTGCGGATCCATCAGGGTTCAAAGCCAGCCCGGGAAGGAAAGCTGCCAGAGATCGTTCTCTCCCGTCACCCAGCCAGAGAGCTGGGAGTAAAGGTGTGGTTGAAGTGGTAGAGCACCAGCCTTGAGTGCGAAAGCCAAGGGAGGAGAGAGACGCCCAAGGGTTCAAGTCCCAGTGCAGGCCAGAGAGAGAGGCCCAGACAGACAGCAAGATAGACAGAGAGGGCGAGAGAAATTTCCACGCCACCACGACTCAAAGTTAAGGAGCAAACCACACATGACAAATCTCCAGACCCCTATTAAATTGTAACTACAAGAATGAGAGAGTAAGCAGGAGCTGGTGGCTCACACCTGTCATCCTCGCTGGTCAGGAGACTGAGATCTGAGGATCACAGATTGAAGCCCACACAGAAAAATCCAAGGCTCTGATGGGGTTTTTTTGGGGGGTGGGGAGAGACTGGGGGTGCTGGCCATTTCAGCCACAGCTCCACTTCTGGCTTTTTTTCTTTTGGTACCTTTGTTTTTTTGGGGGGAAGAGGTAGTCCTGGGGCTTGAACTCAGGGCCTAGGTACTGTCCCTGAGCTTCTTATGCTCAAAGCTGGTGCTCTACCACTTGAGCCACAACACCACTTCTGGCTTTTTCCATGTATTTGGTACTGAGGAATGGAGCCCAGGGCTTCATGCATGCTAGGCAAGCACTCTACCACTGAGCCACATTCCCAGCTCTGGTTCTTTTGGTACTTTAGTGGAAGTAAAAGTCTCACAGATTTTTCCCAGTGTAGGCTGGCTTTGAACCTCAATCCCCAGATCTCAGTCTCCTGAATAGCTAGGATTATAGCTACATGCCACCACCAGCACTTGGCAGAGGTTAAGGGGTGTGTGTGTGTGTGTTTGTGTGTGTGTGTGTGTGTGTGATGGGGCTCAAACTCAGGGGCTGGGTGCTGTCTTTGAGCTTTTTTTTTTTCAAGGCTGGTGTTCTACCACTATGAGCCACAGCTCCACTTCCAGTTTTCTCGTGATTCATAGGAGATAAGAGTCTCAAGAACTTTTCCTGCCTGGGCTGGCTTTGAACCAGTGATCCTCTATGTCTCAGTCTCCTGAGTAGCTAGGGTGATAGGCATGCGCCACCGGCACCCAGCCATCCTAGCTTTTTGCTGGTAAATTGGAGGTGAGTCTCATGGACTTTTCCTACTCAGGTTAAATTTGAACCCCAATCCTCAGATCTCAGCTTTCTCCTGAGTAACTGGGATTACAGGCCTGAGCCACCAAGCCTGGCTTGTAACACAGGAGACTCCAGGTCATGAAGTCATGTCAGGCGTGGGGGTGGGTGGTCCCTTGTGTGGCTGATCTCTGTAAGGAGCCTTCTCCGGGAGTAAGGGCTAACCGTGGCCTTTTGGGGTGCTTCTGTGACCCAATCTGACCCTCACTAGGGACAGTGAGCTGTAGGAGTCTGTGTTGAATGGACAAGCCTGCTGGGAGAGAAAGCCCACACCCCAAGGCTCTGAAACCAAGGGTCTGAGAGATTCAGGGCCAGACAGTAATTCTGGCCTGGCCTGCCCAGTGGCTAAGGGAAGAAACATGGCCCCAGGGCTGATGAAATGGTCTGCTGGTTAAGCCAGGAGACAAAAACCGTCTCTACTGTTCAGGCCTAAGGCTTAGAAGTTCCCACTTTGGCGTGCTGGCTAGGCTCTTGAAAAGGAAAAGAGGAACTGTTTGTGGCTAAGAAAAGATTGCTAAGATACATGGTTTTTGTCTTCTGTAGGTTTCAAGAAGGGTTGTTACAGAAATAACAGAGAGGGCAGTGTATTTTAAGATTACTTGTGCACTGTTAATCTTCTTTCAAAGTCACTTTATGCGACTCTATCTGACTCTCTTCAGACCAGCCAACTACCAGTGCAGTGTGAACCTGAGCCAATCCGAGCAGAGGGGCGGGGCCTGCTGCAGGAGGAACAACCGATGCAAATAAGTTTGCCCTATTCACACCAGCCAATCACAAGCAGAGACTGAACCTGACCTCAGCCAATCAGAGCAGAGGCGTGGGGCCTGCTGTAGTCGGAATATCCTATGTAAATATTTTTCACCCTGCTCAAACCAGCCAATGGCAAGCAGATTGTGAACCTGAGCTCAACCAATTGGAGCAGAGGGGCGGGGCCCGCTAGGTTAGGTATAAATAGGGGAACAGCTCTGTCAGCTTCAGGTAGAAGTATATTTTGTCTTGCTAAGAGGATTCTTTTTTGTGTTGTGACTCCAATAGTTCTGAGAGTACTGATAACAGACCATCAGGACAGAGATCCAGCCCAGGCCTTGAATCTGATGTGCCCAAGGGAACAAAAAACAGGCCAGGAGGGCATCCGTGGCTCATGCCCCCCATCCAAGCTACCCAGGAGGCTGAGCTCTGAGGATTGCAGTTGGAAGCCAGCTGGGGTAGGACAAATTAAGCACTGAAGAAGCCAGAAGTGGTAGAGCGCTAGCCTTGAGCCAAAGAGTTCAGGGTCGGGACCCAAGCCCTGAGTTCAAGCCCTGGTAAGAGCAAAAGGAAAAAGACAAGCCACACCACTGCAGTAAGAGGGACACAGATGGAAGAATAATTGTTCAAATTGAAGAGAGAGGAGTGCAGGATAAAACCTGGCCGTTGTGAAACAAAACAAAAACACAGCTGTCAAGATGATATAGCACGTTTATTCCACCACCCATGGCAGCCTGCTGTCCCCCCAATTACACACGGGACCCAGGCACAGGGGCCCCACACTGACTTGTGCCCAGATAGACAGAGGGCTGGTGGGGACCACTCCATGTGTGACCCCTCATAGACTGCGCCATCTGCCTTCACATTTTCCAAACGAGATAAAGTGCCTCGATGTCCCCACACCCCGCCTGGCGAGGCAGGGCTCGGGCTCGGGGATCACGTCTGCAGTCCCGTAGTCCACGGAGGACAGGGAGTTCAGGAACACCAGCAGGGCCTCAGTTTCCAGGGTATTCAAAGACAGCAGCGGCCCCCATGCCGGTCCCAATGCACATGGACACCACGCCGTAGGCCCTGGGGAGGCCTGGGCATCAGCCGGCCGGGCTTTCCCACCACCCACCACCCACCACCCCACCAACAGGCTGCAGAATCAGAACCCCTGTGCAGGGCACAGACAAGGCAACCATCCCTGCAGGCCAGGGCCGGCTGCCAGGCTAGGGCCTCCCCCTCCCTAGTTCAGAGAACCGTAGGCCTCAGCCCTGGAGACTCCACTTCCGGGCCTCCTCCCCCCCCCTCACCTCTTTCCACGGCGCTTCAGCTCATTCAGCAGCGTGACCACCTGGCGCGTACCAGTGCAGCCCAGAGGGTGGCCCAGGGCCACGGCGCCCCCCAAGGGGTTCACCTTCTCAGGGGGGATGCCCAGCTTCTCCACGCAGTACAGGGCCTGTGAGGAAACACGGCAGATGGAGCCTCCAACACCCCTCCTCCGGGGCCGCCAGCGCCCAGGGCCACACACAAGGGACACAGGCTCACCTGGCTGGCAAAGGCCTCGTTGATCTCAAAGATGTCCACGTCATTCAC